TCACAGTTAATCATTCAGCTTTTGATACAAAATGGAGGATATGGAGATGTTGTGAGGCACCCGCACTTTTGTTTGCACCTAGTTATACAGAGACTATTTTATTAACAGCCGTCTGATGAGCGGCTCAGTTATGATTGTTAGACAACATGAATAATGGCTTTAAGAAAGTAGACAAATGGAGGAAGAGATAAATAAAGACATAAACAAACAATGAGGCGTCAATGCGAGTATGATCACAGTTGCCGGGCAGATGCCAGTGCAACATTTATTCTCCTGAAAGACAGATCGCAGGAGGGAGAATGAAAGGCGACCCATATTCGAAATTGTCATTATTACAATTTTTGACAGACAGCTTAGTTGTTTTACCCAATGGTATTCAGGCAGAGTTATTGGTTTGCTGGCTAGGCGAGAAAAATGGATAAAAAAAATAAATAAATAAACATATAGGGGAGAATGTATCCCCTTTATTTGCTTTGCTTTGCATCATGATTATTTGTAAGCCTGAAAATAAGCAAATCACACTGCAATCTCTCTTCACTCCCTCTGAGTCTCGATGTATTCCCTATCTCTCTCTTTTCACACTGTTTGGTGTGGGATTAGAGCTCTTGAGCTATGTTTAAATGGTGTTTATGCAAATAATCACTAGCCTCAGCACAATTATTTAAAGTGCTAACAACAGAGAAATGCATCTCACTCAGGCTGACAGCAGTCACACTCCCACTTACTGTGGCCATCTGCCCGTGGTGGAACACACTTTTTACTCTCTTTTCCTGTTAAAGGTTGCTCAATATATTTTTTGAAGAGGGGCTGTGTTGATTATCCCCATGAGTCATCATTGTTAATACAGTAATCAGAACGAGGTTGGAGGCCTCTAATCTTCCTTGATTTGGGGCTTTTGAAGAGTTGCTAATTTTATTATTATTATTTTGTTTTATTATTATTATTTATTTATTTTTGCCATAAAATTGGTTAGGATGTATAATTTATTAAACCAGCTGGCTGGAGTGTGCAGGGATCACTGTAAGCAGATGGTTAACTGTTGATTATATCACTGCAATTCACAGCTTTCAATAATAGATAAATAGGTTGTAATGTTGTCCAGTTGAGCAAATTCATACTGAAACTGATGTTAACAGTTAGCAGTTATATTAAAATAGTGAATGGAAAGAAAGTTCTGACCCTCATGGATGAAACTGATGTAAACAGTTAGCAGTTGTATGTTTTAGATTTGTTCTACAAAAGAAAACAATCTGTCACAATTCAAACAATTGTTTTATCCTCATCTCAGATGAAGCTTTATCATCAGAAGTTTACCTAGTATGCCTATTTTTTAAACTCCAGTGGCGACAAATGTGTGGATAGTGAAAATGTAAATATGAAAACACAATGGGTCTTCATTCATTCATTCATGTATTTATTTATTTTCTTTTTAATTGATGCTAATTGCAGTAGTATAGTGAGACAGGAAATCAAGGTGATGGATGATGTGGGGATTGGATTCCCTTTCTCATTCTCTGCCTCCGCTATTTCCTCTTCTGTCAATAAAGATGGCAAAAGAGACTAATGGCTAGTGTGGCCAAAAGTAAATTCTGCACCCTGGGTGGTGCCTATTTCAAATGGGAATTTAAAGGTGTATTTCAGGCATGAGGTTTTACTGGTCTTTTTATGTTGTGGATTATTTTTGACTCTAATATCATAGTCAATATATTTACAGTACCATCCAAAAGTAAGTAAAGGTCAGTAAGATTTGTATTAAAGTATTAAAAACATAATTACTTTTTGAAAGGTACTGTAAATATATTGACAATATTATCACAGTTTACACAAAAAAATAAAAAATAAAGCAGCACTACTGTTTTCAACATTGATAATAGGAAAAGTTTTCATTACCAAATCACACTTGTGATTTCAAATTAGAGTGATTTCTGAAGGATCATGAGACACTGTAGACTGGAGTAATGGCTGCTGAAGTCAGCTTTACTGTCAGAAAAATAAATTACATTATGAAATATACTCAAATACAAAGCAGTTAATTTACATTGTAATAATATTTCACAATGTTACTGTTGTATTGTTGATCAATTAAATGCAGCAATTTCTAAAAAATAAAAAAAAAATACATTTTGTGGTACTTTACATGGGGGTGTATCTATTATTATGTCCTCTTCCTGTCTTTTTTCCTATTGTTTATTTTAACACAATTTTTTATATCTGTCTACTAAAAGTTACTTATCGTTATCAGTCAGACTTAAGTAACATCTCTGATGACTAGAGTGTAAACCCTGTGCACATGACTCTGGGGTGACTCCATCTATAGTATCAAACCTCATTGTAGCGGTGAAAATCACTGGATTGCGAGGGGTGGAAGGGCTCCCATGGCAAGAACAACAATGGTACATCTCATCAGGAGGTTACCTCTGACGTAGGTGCTCATGGGAATGTGCTAAACGGGTGCAGTGGCAGGCTGTGAGCCTCATTAGGCCCAGATGCTGCCCGACACACTCACGGGCCTGCATACACACACTTCGACAGATGTCGAGGTGGCAGAGGTGAGGACCAGGATTAGGGAAGGGCTCTTGTCTCAGTGATTAGATCTGAGAAAACAGCTTGAACAAGGCCATAAAGCCCTGTTGGGTGCACCTGAAGCCATAAGCCACTGACAGTGTGTATATATGTGCATGTGCACTCATTAAAAAAAAACATCTTGACTCCATTATAGTGGAATTATGATCATGTTGTTGTCGTGGTGCAGAATCATCTTGTTTGTTTTCTACATGTTTTTTTGTTCTTCACAAAAATACTTTTAAACTATGTGTGTGTGTGTGTGTGTGTGATGTTTATTGTTGAGCCCTGCATTAAAGGGATAGTTCACCCAAAAATTAATATGATGTCATCATTTACTCAACCTCAAGTTGTTCCAAACTTGTATGAGTTTCATTGTTCTGTTGAGAAAAAAATAATAATAATGAAAATAAAAACATTGAAGAATGTGGGTAACCAAACAGTTGACGGCAGCCGGCAGCCATTGACTTCCATAGTAAAGAAAATTATGGCTACCGCCAACTGATTACCAACATTCTTCAAAATATTTGTATGTGCATGTGCACTCATTAAAAAAAAAACATCTTGACTCCATTATAGTGGAATTATGATCATGTTGTTGTCGTGGTGCAGAATCATCTTGTTTGTTTTCTACATGTTTTTTTGTTCTTCACAAAAATACTTTTAAACTATGTGTGTGTGTGTGTGTGTGATGTTTATTGTTGAGCCCTGCATTAAAGGGATAGTTCACCCAAAAATTAATATGATGTCATCATTTACTCAACCTCAAGTTGTTCCAAACTTGTATGAGTTTCATTGTTCTGTTGAGAAAAAAATAATAATAATGAAAATAAAAACATTGAAGAATGTGGGTAACCAAACAGTTGACGGCAGCCGGCAGCCATTGACTTCCATAGTAAAGAAAATTATGGCTACCGCCAACTGATTACCAACATTCTTCAAAATATTTTCTTTTGTGTTCAATAGAAGAAAGAAATGCACACAGGTTTGGAACGACATAAGGGTGAGTACATTTTTGGGTGAACTATCACTTTAAGAGAAGTTTAAATTATCCTAAATAAATCTCACAAAATCAATGAAAAAGACTTGGCCTTACGTAACTTCCACACGTTACACCTGCGCATCAAAAACGATGGGGCAGCAGCAGGCAGCCCTAAATACAAAGCCAGTGCGTGGCCTTTAATGCAGTGATAAAAAGTCTGTGTCTGTATTAGTGACATGCGGGATTCGTAAGGTGCACACTGGTCTCTGGACAGATTGCAGCAGCTGGTGTTTGTGTCAGCAGGGTACAGTGAAGCAGTGGCTGAAACTGTTACTGTGCAGTGCCTCATTGCCTACTGATGAGATGAAATGTCAGTTGCATTTCTCCTGCTGATCTGCACCCGGTAGGCAAGCTGTGCCTACTGCGTGAAGAGTCTGTGTCCTAACATTGTGCAAGACCTCTGGATCAGTCATTGGCTGTAAAAGAAGCGTGGGCCAGCAGCAACTGTAGATGGGAAATATCGTAGCTGCTCTTGCTATATTTCGTGCAACAAACGAGTCTATTTCAACATTGTATCTTAGTGATGAATAATGCAGATTGTGTGTAAACTTTTGGGGACTTTTTACTTTTACAGTTAGTGTTTTTACTGGACATATTCATTCTAGAATTCTATATATTGTAACAGACAACAGATCGAAGAGAGAAAAAAAAAAAAAACTGAGAGCACGGCCATCTGTGCAGCCCTGTCACACAAGCCTGGACTAAGGGGGGCAGGTTTGTTAAAATCAGTCTCCGAATGAACTTTGCAAAGACAACATACCCTCTAAAAAGTTTTGCACATGCTCAGTGTGACATGAATGGCTTGAATTTACAGTTGCAATGTAAAACTCTTCATAACAGCAAAATAAATGTAATAATTAACTGTTAAAATGCCAGACAAATAACTGTCTAATTCCACATTTTAAATGGATAGAGCAGGTTTTTGGTCTTGCCCCCTTGCTCTTCTCACCACCTTATGTTGTTTACACATATTCGTCCAAAGATATGTTTCAATTGCACTATTGATATTTATATATTCACTTTCTAGAAATATTTTGCATGGAATGTATTGCGTTCCAGTACGTGAGTAGTAAGTCGTATCTATCCTCTTGTAGGTGCTGTAACGGGCGTTGACCAAGAGAAGGGGGCCGGCCAAAAAAGACTGCCTTAAACGTTCTTCTTTTTCCAAAATGTTTTTCTTTTTGGTCTGCGGGAGTAGGACAGAGCTTGCCTCTTTTCACAGATTGCCATAACACATGTCTCTTCATCTCTGAAATACATATAACTACCTTTTTTCGCACATGAATAATGAGAAAAACCAAATGGACAAAGTCGGGAAGGAAAAGTAGACTGAAAATGGGCGTCTGTCTGCTGATATTTGTCACCCCCATCCTGATGTTTTTTTTTTCCTCCATAGCTTTTTGGGAGCGGATATCTCTCACCTAAGGACACTTCAAGAAATATGGACTAATGGATTTGTGATATCTTCATTTTTGCCTCTCCTCCGCTGTGCATTTCTTCCCTTTGCTATGAACTCTTTTGTATGGACTTGCCCCCCTCCTTTCTTCTCCTGTCCCCTTTGGAGTCTTACTATCATTGCAATCACCTGGGGTAGGTATGTCTTACCTCTGTCCATCTCTCATTTTGAATATCCTCTCCTCTATTTTCTCCTCTCTGTCTCCTTTTCTCTGCCACAGCCAGACACACTCACATTCACTGAAAAATCACCTAAGAGGACTTAATAGCTCCTCTGTAGTGCACTCTGACCTCTTATCAAATACAGAAACAGTATTTTTTTCTCCCATAACTCACAGTCTTTCTCACTTTGCTCTAAATGAGGGAATGTTTTATGAGGGAAAAGACTGCTTTGCAGCTGAATCATATAAAGACTTTGCACTTCGTTTAATCCCCCCCCCCCCCTCCATCTTATTCTTGTCTCCCCTCCAAAAGAAGTTAAAAGAAGCGAGAGGAAAAAATATGCTTAGATGAGAACATTATCTCCATTTTGGCTTCTTTAGACATGTGCACCTGCAAACCAAAATGGAGCTTAGTGCCATAAAGTGTCAGCCAGTCGTGTTTGTTAATTAGATTGGGTGACTGTAACATTAACTCCATTCCAGTCTCTGTCTCTCTCTCTCTCTCTCTCTCTCTCTCTCTCTCTCAATCTCGATCTCGATCTGAAGGCAATGACGTATTTGCCTCACACCAATGACTGTGCCACAATGTAACAAAACACAGACACCAAATACACATTTGCCTTTGAACTGAGAACACGTATTGATGTGAATATTGAAGACATTGACATTCCTGAGAGTCTACTTGGGAAACGTGTGTAAATATGTAACTAGCTCTGAATGATATTTATCAAATATATAAATATATGGTACACCTGACAGTACGTCCGTAATGTGAAAACTTATTTTCTGATCACATAAGGGATTTTACTTCTCTGTGTGTCTGAGACAATGGTTACAAAAGCAGTAGATGGGGAAGCTAGATTAATGTCATGAGTCATTTACTTACATTAAGCCAGTAATAGAGATTCTGTCGGCTCTGCAGACAGTCTAGCAGAAAGTGCTGTTCTTGTGAATGTACTTTGTATTCAGCCATTTTTAGTACAATAAATTGACTTATCAACATCTGCTTGTTGTGTATGTAGTGTTGTAGATTTTTTGACAGATGTGCAGTTGAAATGAATGAGATTAGCTGTTTTGGATTGACATTTGAGTACTTCTCTTACATAAAAATAAATGTGATGACATGCTGATACCATGGTGTGTGTGTGTGTGTGTGTGTGTGTGTGTGTGTGTATTTATACTATAATATACCGTATATTATTTATTTTGGAAAACCATGCTCCATGGTACTGAATGATTCCCATATTCATGTTTCATGGTATTGGTGATATTAAAGTGATATAAAATATCACTTTTGTGGTATGCAGTGATATTAAAAAAGGATTTGCATTATTTTAAATTGTAATAATATACTCACATAAATAAAGTATATCTCTTTCACACACTCACACACAAAGTAAGGTTCACAAAACTGAGGATGTCAAATATGACTACTGCAAAAGAAGCCAAGAGCTGATAAAAGACAAACTGCATAATGCGAAAACACATATGAATTGTTATTTAGGTGCACTGTGAATTTGTTTTTTTTAAGTAGGCAGCTCTTATGTTTTCTTTTTCCCTTCACAGTATGCAGCGTCTTATTTCTTTTCTCAGAGAAAAAGACTCCAGAATTTGCATATCAGTGCCCCCGGTGGTCAAGGAGAGAGACCGCAGAATTTGACATTTTTTATTCAGCATGAAAAATCAGTTATTGTTACAGCTAGCCCTCTGAGTGATATTTGAGGTCCAAAATAATATTGAGTGGAGGGTGAAGGTACGAGTGTGTGTGTGTGTGTTTTGCTTGAGTGGGCGTAGTAGCAGTAATCACAAAACACATCCCAGGGAAACTGCAACTCTATTTTCACGTTCTAATTCGGGGAGAGATTGATGACAAGATGAAAGACATGCTTTCTTGTTTTTCCACTCACACCTTGCGCAAACACATCATGCATATACGCGCATATTTGTGTACGAGTGGGCTGTGAGAGATAGCGGTGATGTCAGCAAGCAACTGAATACATTTTAAATGGAAGGCGCCACTGAATTTAATTAAAACAACTTGCAGGCCTAATTAACACCATGATAAATACCATTGTCCACCAGAGGTATAGCTCCTCCAGAGAAGCTAAAATAGATCTGATCCAGCTTCTCTTTCCCATCTCTATTTTTTTTGAAGAAGTGGTTTTAACATACAATTAAATACAAATCTATGAAACTAGTAAAATGATCGAATTTGAGTAGTTCTGAATTTGAATTACTCATGAGTACATGTAAATTCTAGACACGATGACTGAATTATAGATGTGAAAATTGATTATTTTATGACATTTTATAGTTTTGAACTGTGAACTGTAACAAAATGGGTTTTTTAAGACATTAGATATTTTCTGGGGGTTTTTTAGATGTGAAATTAACTGTAAATATTCAGATTCAACATAATGGTGTTTTAGAAAATGCAAATCTAAAATAATACTGTTTCAAATACAAAACACAAAACAGTTCAATTTTGCAATTTTGTTAAATGTCATGGCTAGGATACATATTTACAACCCCTATCTCTCTTTTTTTTGAAGAAGTGGTTTTAACATACAATTAAATACAAATCTATGAAACTAGTAAAATTATAGAATTTGAGTAGTTCTGAATTTGAATTACTCATGAGTACATGTAAATTCTAGACACGATGACTGAATTATAGATGTGAAAATTGATTATTTAATGACATTTTATAGTTTTGAACTGTGAACTGTAACAAAATGGGTTTTTTAAGACATTAGATATTTTCTGGGGGTTTTTTAGATGTGAAATTAACTGTAAATATTCAGATTCAACATAATGGTGTTTTAGAAAATGCAAATCTAAAATAATACTGTTTCAAATACAAAACACAAAACAGTTCAATTTTGCAATTTTGTTAAATGTCATGGCTAGGATACATATTTACAAAATTCTAATTCAAAACTGTAAGACGCCACTATATAGTTGCTAAATGTCACATTTACAAATATAAAATTACATCCCTTTGCCATTTTTCAAGCCCCATAAAAATCCCTGTTTTCTGATCTCCTTCAGCCCTAATCAGGTTTAACTTTACTTAAAGCAACTGTGAGTGTGAATAATGCCAAAATATTAGATCAGATTTACCGTATTGACCCGAATATAAGACAATGTTTTTTTCTTGGAAATACATCTGAAAAAATGTGGTCGTCTTATATTCAGGGTCTAGACTTTGACATGTGTTTACTGAGAAAAAACAAGATTTGGTTTTTAAAAAGCTTTTTTCCAAAAGGTACATCTGGAAAAAGGGCGGTCGTCTTATAATCAGGGTCGTCTTATATTCGGGCCAATACGGTAGATTCAATCAACCTGCACTGCAAGCATTAAAACAGCAGCAGATTTGACTTTTTTTGCCTCTGAAATTCTGTTTGACATGCCAGGTGCTGCCCTGTGGTGAAAGACCTGCAGACATACTCACACATCATTTTGTCTGAATAAGTGAGTGAACATTACAGGGGTCATATGATGCTGCTTAAAAGAACATTATTTTGTGTATTTGGTGTAATGAAATGTGTTTATGCGGTTTAAAGTTAAAAAAACACATTATTTTCCACATACTGTACATTATTGTTTCTCCTCTATGCCCCGCCTTTTTTAAACGCGTCGATTTTTACAAAGCCTATCGCTCTGAAAAATCGAGGTGTGCTGTTATTGGCCAGTTATCCAATGCGTTGTGATTGGCCAAGTACCTCAAGCGTGTGACGGAAATATTACGCCCCCTCACATACTGTTGATGCCGTGTCCGGCCGGAGCCAAGAAGACAAAAACATTAAAACCCATTACAAACGAGGCATTTGTTGCATCCAGTGGGGACATAATTACTGATTATAATGACTTAAACTGTCTTTTTACGCGTTGCATTGCATCGCACCGCGTAAACATAAAACTCTGTCTGCATTTGTGATCTGAGAAATGACAAGTGCTACTCTACTGCCCAAAACTCGCGTTTGAATCATCAGTGGCAAATCCTTTAAATGAAAACCTACTTACGTGAGTCAGAACTGCCGGCATTGTAGTCTTACGTTACTCTCCCAGGATCAGTAAACAGTCCAAGCCTATCGCTCTGAAAAATCGAGGTGTGCTGTTATTGGCCAGCTATCCAATGCGTTGTGATTGGCCAAGTACCTCAAGCGTGTGACGGAAATGTTACGCCCCCTCACATACTGTCGATGCCGTGTCCGGCCGGAGCCAAGAAGACAAAAACATTAAAACCCATTACAAACGAGGCATTTGTTGCATCCAGTGGGGACATAATCATCTTCAAAGAAAGAAACGATTGGAGTTGGCTGTTTCCTTGTCAATCCATTTCATTTGGCATGTTTATATTCCAGTTCAGCTTTTCACTTCACATATTCCGTTTTTTGGAAACCTTTTAATGGAAATGTATTTTCTAAATGCATCTTATTGATCTTATTGTGGATGATTCATCCATGCATATGTTGGTTTATGTATTTATTCATTCATATTAATTAATTAATTTATTATTATATTATTAGTTTAAAATAATAAGTAAAGTCACATTTTGACGTAATTATGCAATTGTAAGATATAAAGGTGCAAGCTTTAACACAAAGTGTATGATATAAAGTTTCAGTTATGAAAAAAAAATCATATTGTAAGATATACAGGCATAATGTGCTGTTTAAAGTTGTAATTACAATACAAAATACATATTGTGAGATATAAAATCACAGTAGTGAAAAACAAAGTCACAACTGTGAGATATAAAGGTACAATGTGCAGTATAAAGTCACAATTACAATAAAGAAATTCACATTGTGACTTTGACTTCATACCTCACAAAGAAACACAAGGTCCGATTGTGAGATACAGTATAAAGGCACAGTGTCCCGTGTAAAGTTGCAATTACAAGAAAAAAAGTCACATTGTAAGATATAAATTCACAATTACAAGAAAAAAAAGTCACTTTGTAAGATATTAAGTCGTAAAAATGATAAGAAACAAAATAACAAATTTTAGCTACAAAGTCATAATGTGCAGTTATAAAGTCACATTTAGGAGAAAAGAAAGTCAGTGTTTTTGTATAGGATGCCAGTCTTTTGTCATAGTTCATCTCCATTTGTTTTCTTTTACTTCTGTCCTGTTGTCTCCCACCGCTCTCCATATCGACTTAATTGTTTTCAGTCTCAGCAAACCTTTTTCCACAGTGCCTGTGATTTACAGGGCTATGTGTGATAGACAGACAAGTAGAGGAGGGAGTGAGGGATAGGCAGAGATAAGCAGATATCTGAAGAGGAAAAAGGAAATGTGCTTCTGTGGCGAGGACGCTCGTTACCGTGATTATTAGTTTAAAATAATAAGTAAAGTCACATTTTGACATAATTATGCAATTGTAAGATATAAAGGTGCAAGCTTTAACACAAAGTGTATGATATAAAGTCTCAGTTATGAAAAAAAAATCATATTGTAAGATATACAGGCATAATGTGCTGTTTAAAGTTGTAATTACAAGAGATATAAAATCACAGTAGTGAAAAACAAAGTCACAACTGTGAGATATAAAGGTACAATGTGCAGTATAAAGTCACAATTACAATAAAGAAATTCACATTGTGACTTTGACTTCATACCTCACAAAGAAATACAAGGCCCGATTGTGAGATACAGTATAAAGGCACAGTGTCCCATGTAAAGTTGCAATTACAAGAAAAAAAGTCACATTGTAAGATATAAATTCACAATTACAAGAAAAGGAGAAAAGAAAGTCAGTGTTTTTGTATAGGATGCCAGTCTTTTGTCATAGTTCATCTCCATTTGTTTTCTTTTACTTCTGTCCTGTTGTCTCCCACCGCTCTCCATATCGACTTAATTGTTTTCAGTCTCAGCAAACCTTTTTCCACAGTGCCTGTGATTTACAGGGCTATGTGTGATAGACAGACAAGTAGAGGAGGGAGTGAGGGATAGGCAGA